AACATGGAATTCATATAAAACGGAATAATCAACAGTGTTATAGGGGGGTCGACTGTAGTGTATTTTCCTCTGTTTCGTCCGTATTTAATGCTTAGAAGAAGGCAAAGTATTGTAATTTTGTTTTAAAACTAACAAAGGAAATAAATTGAAGTGTTAGAAACGACTCCAAAGAAGTTATAACAAGCGAAGTACGTGTGTATCTTTGCATTGTATTGTCTTCTAGTGTGTTGCTCAGCGTGTGTAAAACACTAAAATGCATACATATTACTTTTTCCATTCGTTTTGTGTATACGTCTCGAGGAGTTCATTGTGCGACAGAAAACTTGCCTCCCTTTTGCAACCGGCATCCCCTAACAGCGAATGTACCGAGCCATATTGTGACGTCGATACGCCAGATCGACTCGGTGGGGCGGCACTCGTGTTCTCCGAAAATGGAGATTGGGAGATTGGAAGTTACAGTTGTAGTGTATCGGTGACGACATCGATCGAAATTCTCCATTCTTTTTTTCTTTTTCTTCTTCTTCTTTTGTTTGTCGAAAAATACTGCAAGGAATTTTACTGGAGAACCACACACAATGCCATCGTCCGTTACGTCATAACCGAAAACAATTCCGGTGTTCTCCAATGGGGGGTTTCAATTAAACTGAGATTAAACTTTGTTAACGATGATTTTCTTCTGTTTCGTTTACTGTAGTGTACGAGCAATGCTTTTTTTTTTTTTTTGTAGAAGATTCAACCAATAGGGGAAGCATCTACCTGGTGTTTAAATGTTGCAGTATTTTACTCACACGTCACAAAGGAATCGAACGTGAATTTGCAGTAATTTCGCTCCTCGCGCCCTTCCTATAACACGTAATTTAAGTGTGTTTGGTGGGGAATTTTCGGTCATCCATTTCTTTTAGTGGTAATTCGATTAAAAACACACGAGCCAAAGTAAAATATAAATCAAACGGCGATATCCTTAGAAATTATTTATCGAATTCGGTCGGTTGGGGAAGAGTTAAATTATACGGGATGTCACGAAGCGCGTGACGACCGGAAACGTGACGATTACGTCCGGACGAGAGAGATGTTATAGACATAAACACTAGTAATTTATTACGAGTTGAAGTATTTCCCGTGGGTGCTCTAGTCAGTGTCTTCCGTGATACGCGTGATCGACAGTTTCTCATCTGCACCTCTACACCTAAAGCGAATCGATCGGAGAATGAGTCAATTTTATGTTACGAGTTCGTTCGTTACGCATTCTTTCTTGGTTACTCTAAAATACCCTTTCTTACCAACGAAAAATCGAAGTATAATCCGTACTGTAATCTCGGTTACGCTGTTGTAAATGCTTTAAAACCTTCTTTATAACTGCCCAAAATTAAGATTACTCCGTGTAATTGACCCTCCTCCACTCCAATTTTCTATCACTTGTTATATACAACACACAATGCAATATAAGTACAGTCAAACTTGTAAATAGTGGACACATTTCTGAAAAAAAATGGCCGCTGTTTAGAGGTTCTATCATACATAATAGTGTAGATATAATACGTTGTTTAACTTATATTCTAGAAAAATACAGTGGGAATTAATATAATAGTATTACAGAAGAGTAGTGTATTATGTAAGTGTATTTAGTTATCTTTCATCTCCCTTCTATACTTGTTCTTACAGTGGAAATAAGTAGAAAAGGAATGACAAACAACCGACGCTCAGTTCTAGTGTCTAAATTTATAGATCAAGAGTGGAGTGTCTCAGTAAAATATTTGACTAGAAGTACTCTAGAATCGCGTAACGAAGCTCAATTGATATAAAAAAGGGGGGCCATTTGACACCACGACTGAATTAATTATCGAGTTACATGCACTTACGTATTACGATCTGTTAACTGTAATTAATCAAAATGGTATTTTTAACAATAAATAATTTTATGTAGTGTAAAATCAAACACTAGATCGAGAATTTATAGACTAATACCCGTGCCAAAATGGCTGCCGTTCGAAAAATATATGAATATACATCAATTACAATTATAGTGAAGAAGGATCCAGGTTCGATTACCTCGAGTTTTTTTTGGCTTATTACATTGCTAGACCCCATCGCGGATCGGACCCTTTTTTTTACGTATTGACAAAATTGAAACCGGATATGAGATGCAATTCTATTTCCGGTGGTGGTGATAGAAAACGTAAACACACGAAAACATTCTTAACTATAAAACTTTGATATATTCTTGGTGTGGGTTAGTGTTATTTTGTTTCGATATATATATAAATGTGTACCGGTGTTAGGTCCGTGCAGGAAACATATGGCATCCGGGATAGATTTTGCACAGCGGTTCTCCACCAAACGTTCGATCGATAACGAACAGAGTAGACCTTAAACCGTAAATAGCTGGCAGCATTCCGGATTTGTAAGTTTCCATATTGTAAACAATTCTTCCAGCCGAAAAACGTGTCGTGACACTCACCCGCCTCACTTTTATTGTTTATAAAAGTGTCCGTAAACGAAAGAATACATTTATTTTCGGATCCAGTATACAAAAATCGTTTGAAATTGTATTAGTAAACCCCATATTATACAGAACAATAGACACGTGTACACAAGTCGACCCCCCTATAACACTGTTGATAATTCCGTTTTATATGAATTCCATGTTATACGAGTCACTTAGATTTTACAAATACGTGAGCAGTTCACAGCGCGGCACACGTATTTATAAAATCTAAGTGACTCGTACAACATGGAATTCATATAAAACGGAATTATCAACAGTGTTATAGTGGGGTCGACTGTATTTTAGTGTGACGACACAGCAGAGCAATCATCCATCTGTATCTCTACAGAGAATTATGGTGACGAAACTTCGATCGATGTACAGTACAGTACCAAACTTCTAAAACACTTAGCAGCAGCATTTGTACTGTTTAACAAACACTACTCTTTCGGTTGCAGGGTAATTGTTTAGCGTTAAGGTCTGTTTTTTTAATCAGATTTGAATCTAGATTCATCGTGCATAAAGGTAATCCTAAAAGGAGTGACTCGTTGAAGATTGCAGCAAGCAGCAGTCCATTTAGAAGCGAAGTTAAGGTTGAGGAACTCTGGATAAATATGAGTGACGTTAAATTAGTTTAATTTCCTAATTAATCAGCTTATATTAAACTATGCTTCTAAACATATTTGTTAACGTCCGTTCTTTAAAACCACTCGAAATAATAGGAAAATATTTAAAAGTAAAGCTGTCATTTTTTTAATTATATTAGTTAGATGAAAAATGAGATTTTCAACTGGTAGATCGCGATCTACATTTTGAACCTGATCGAACCTAACCTGAAATTCTATTCTCGTAAGTCATAAGATTGATACTGTAGGCCTAAATCCTATTTTAGCCAGTAGCGTAACTGGGAGGTAGCCTTTATAAATAAGCAACGAAAAGAATAATGTGACAAACTCACGTATACATACGTATATCTAATTGTTTACTCTTCCCCCCACAGCGCTAATACGGGAGGTAAATTTAGGTTTGCACGTTCTAATTTGGGCCTCATCTAGTATTTACTCTACTGATTCTTACACAGATATATTGGTCGATATATTTTATCATCGGATGGAAGAAAACTCTGGTGTTTCTATAAGAAATCCGCCCTTTTGTTTCACACGTAACGTGTGTTTTAAGGGCCCGCATTTGTTAAGAACGCCGCTAATTACCACATAAGTAGTTAGAAGTTACTTTTATGACGTCGATTGAAATTAGGAATTTCTTGGTTGTAGCATTTCTCAGCGTGAGTTAAGGATATTCAATCCTAACAACACGACCGAGACGTGTTCTCCTTTGTTCTTCCTCACCCCTTTAAAACCGTAGAAATCGGTTGTTGAACGTATTTAACATTATCTGTACATTTCGATAACGAATCCTTTTATCCGTATTAAGCTGTTGACGTTTTGTCTGTCCGTCACGCAATTAATCTGGAGTAAATTCGTGACGGAAGTATACGCAGCCGACGATTGGCTCCCGTAGGAAATATGTGTTGGCCAATTGGACTCGATAACGAATCATTTCGTCCGTGTTAAAGCATCGTTCGATCGTCTGTCTGTCTGTCACGCTATTGATTCGTTCTGTAAACATAAAACTAGTGTTCTGCTGGGTGGAAACGGTGATTAATATAGAAAATACTAGTCACGTTCGTCAATGGTCAGCAACAATGTATTATAATACTCACCCTTGCATAAAATGCGTTCGATTATACAAAAAAAAAGCCCATTTTTCTCTCTAGTGTTTACTTTAAATGTTTTTCGTGTGTGTGTATGAGGGGGGAACTTCGAGTGTCGTGAAGACGATCGATCGAACCTCCCTCCCTATAAAGTCGGAATTTGCAGCGTGTGCAATTCCCGTCTGTCGGGTGCGAACGCCCGTGGACGGTGGCAACGATCGAAAGAAATTGCGTCACACTTAGTTAACGACACTCGACCACAAAATCCTGGTGTTATATACGGAAGTTTAACCTTTATATAGACGTTGGTCAAGTTTAACGGAAGTGACGCGATCGATACTGAGAACTTCCGGACCTCGGACCTTCTTGGAGGCGAACTCTTTTACCACCCGCAGCGACAGAGTTTACGAAATCAACCGCACGTGGAAATTCCTCAGAATTAGCATATTTGGGGAGGGTGTTTTGTGTTTAAAGTATCAAGCGCGTGCCACTCGCAGCGTTATATCGAGTTCGAGCGGGACTAAACCAACGCATTATTTTACAAGCGGCGACATTTCAAGGGAGTAAGAAAGAAAAAAAAAGCGCCGGCATCTCTTTATTTTAAAAAAGATTGTTTTTTTTTTTTTTTTCGGGGGATCCGTTAGAGGGTTGGGGCGCTCCGCCGCCACGGCGCGGCGCGGGTGAGTGCCCCAGGCCGATTTACAGCGCAGGCTCCGGCGCCGGCGCAGTGGGCGCGAGGAAGCGGCGCCGTTCGGCGCGAATCGATGGCAACTCTCGCGGCTTCTCGCGAATCACGTGAGCGCGGCCAGCCACACAAAGGACGTCGCCGGTAGTGCGTACCTCAGCCTGGTGGCAAGCGGGTAAGGCCGAGCCGAGCTGTGTCGCCGACCGAGTTCGTTGGATTACGTCTACCGCTACCTCTCGTTATGGATTGGACGACGTCGGCTCTTGGGATGTTCGTGTCTCGGCTGCAATGACCATAAAATGGGTGAGGAGTGCCGACTCTACTTTTGTTTTAGCCCCTTGTAAATGTCGTGTTTGTGTCCTTTCTTTATCCTCCTCCGTATGGAATCTCTCGGACGTGTTCTCCGCCCGACAAGGTGAGTACGGGTTGGCGGCCTCGGTCGACGCCCGAACCGACATGGCCGCCGCGTCCGACTTTTATTCGCTCTCTCTCTCTCTCTCTCTTCTCCTTTCCCGTCGGGCCTCTCCCTTCGCCGACAGCCGGGGCCCCGCGCTTGTTTTTTTTCTGTTCGACCGGGGCCCTAGATCCCGGCGCCGCGCGCCGTGACGGCGCGGCTCGCGCCCGTGGCGAACAAAGGAGGAGGAGAAGCGGCGTCGCCTCGGTCGTTCCAGAAAGGGCGTGGCCGCCGGGCGGGCCGAACTCAGGCCCCGCCGTCGGAGGATCGCGGCCGGCCCGAGGGGAGGGACGAGTCGCCCCCCCCTACGTTCGCGCCGTTAATTATCCGGCGGTGGCGGTGGGGGGAGCGCGGCGCCCCGTTCCGGGTGCATTTCGCGTAATCTGAAGTCGGCGGGCCCGGTTCCGGCACCGCTTCCCGGATCCTTCTCGTTTTTCTTTGTTCCTCTTCCCGTGCTGGGAGCGCACCCTCGTGCACATTTACGAACGTACTCCCGAGTTCTGGCCTAGCTTTTCCACCCTCCCTTTTTTTGTTTTTTTTTTTTTTTAACTGGAAGCCAAGGGCCCTTCCACCTCGTGTAATTTACCCACCCTCGCCGAATCGGGACGGGAGCCGCCTAGTCGGGCCCGACCGCACCTCCGGCGGGGGGTCAAAGGTTAACAACTAGGCCGGGAATGTTCAGTCGATCCCCGTTTTTGCGGGTTTCCTCCGCGTCGAAGGGCGACGGACGGCGGTCGGAGTTCCCATCGATTCTGTTCGACACGAGATATTTCTCATCCCGAGTGTCTTTGCTCTGTTCTTCGTCTGCCAACTTTTTTTTTCCCAACTTCGTCCGGCGGCGGAAGGGGCCAAGAATCTTGTGTGCTGGCGATTCGGCCGGAAGCGGATCTTCCTCCGCCTAAAAGAGTGCGACGAAGGAAGGAGGGTGAAAGGCAAAACTCATTTTTCCATCTCTACAATACCCTTTTAAACACCGAATTGGAAGAAGAATGACAAGCTTTGTCGTCTTTTATATTGTCAAATTTTTAAGTCGATTATACTAAATCGGATTCCCTATTCATCTGTGTTCGCTTCTTCTACTATTGTTATTTATTACAATAAAGAATACCAAGTCCTTTCTTCGGGGTTCTACTTCTGTAGAGACGAGATACGTGAACCATCGTACCGCTTCGTCGTAAGTTCGGAGATAATCGGATCCGAGCGCAAGATGGCGGCGACGGACCGATAAGTGCCAACGACCGATGGAGTTTTCTTTATTGTTTTTCTGCCAGGACGCGTTACACCGAGTTCGATACTCTTGCAAACGCCACTGATCTTCTTAAATTTGAAAACTCTTTGGCAAAAATTCCGGTAATTGAGCGTGCCGTCTTAAACTCCACCATTACGGAGGAATAGTTGGAATCACTTTTCCTCCCCGCTGTATTTTGTGTGGCTAGGATGTAATTCCCTATAGCTAGGTATAAATAAACCGAACGCCCCGGGGTACTGTTCGAGTACACTACTCCCCAGCCAGCCCCTCACCTTAGAAGTTTCTCGGAACATATTTGCCAATCCCGATTCCCTTTTTGTGAGTAGAACGTTCCCGCATCCGGCTCGTGATGCGCAGACTCCATTCGACCGGACACCTACGCCATAAAGGTTAGTAACACTTTTCGTGAAAATCAACCAGGAATTTTTTTTTTTAGTCTTTCAGTCGCACCCGGCTGAAATCCCTCTCCCAAATTTACTCCGCCTGATTTTTGTTCCGGCGGCTGAAGTGGTAAAAAGGAATCTAAAAAAGGGCCTTCCATCCTTTCTTCTCCCCGTACCTCGGGGGTAACAATGTTCTTTTCTTTCCTCCCTTCCCTCCAATGTACTGGAGATTCGTACTTGCCAGTCCCTTAGAAGCGGGATCGACCTGGTTTCGTTCCGCAGTCACCATCTTCCGAAACGACGTCACACCACCCTTCTCTTCAGTGAAGGTGTTTGCCACCTTAAAAACTCGTTCACTACCAAAGCGTTACCGACAGATAATACAAGTCGACCCCCCTATAACACTTGATTTTTCCGTGTTATATGAATTCCGGGCTGTGAACGGCTCACGTATTTGTAAATTCTAAGTGACTCGTACAACATGGAATTCATATAAAACGGAAAAATCAACAGTGTTATAGGGGGTCTTTTGTATTGCAATAAGCTTCATTCACCGTACCAGAAATAAGCGATATATCCGGTGTGGTCGAGTTTGTTGTTCAAATCGACCGAGTGCACACGTAAAATAAGGTCAATATTCTGTGTAAGTGTTTTAGTATCGACCCGATGTAGATGCACACCAAATATAAATCGCTATAGAATTGTTCCTCTCCGTTCCATATTCGGAGATTAAAGAATAATCCGTTATGTAAGTTAGATCCTTACTCCGTTACCTTTCCGACGCTTGCGTGAGCGTTTACAAATGGAGATTACCAAACACGTGACGCGTTTACTTTGAACGGAGCAAACTCTAGATTAGTATTGGTTGCCAGACCGAACGTCACTTTCGATTTTGCTCCCAAGTAAACAAATTAACTACTACGAAGACACAACGCAAAATGGTACGCAATTTTGGTGGTGTTTTTTAGTTCGTAGAATGTTCGACCTGTTCTAGTGTTATAGAACAGAATGGCCTTTTGGGCACATTACAGGAACTTGTGTGTGTGTTATGCGTAACTGTTTGTGCAGTTGTGTATTCGTTCTTGCGCGTGTTTAACCCGAATTGTTCGTAGGAACACAACGAAAACGCGGAAGTTATCGATTTGAAATACGCAGGAACAGTGTGTGTTGTTTCGTAATGTTTGAAGGAAAGGAAGCGCCCCCGTTATCTGGTGATAGGAAATGTCGTTAGAAGCGGGGAAAGACACTAAACGCCATGACTCCGGCAGAAAGGGAGGTAATTATTTTGTGTGAAACGAAGTTATCCTTTCTAACCGTTTCGTATTCTACGTAGTAAGCGATTGGACTTGGTTCCGTAGATAAGGATTTTATCTGTTTACGGTAACGGATTAGGACTATCACCAAGCGTACATTTCTCGTTGGGCGAATTCGAATTTGGACGCTTCACGCGCGTTCGCTAGTGTCGCTTTTTTTTTTTTTGTTTTTTTTTGTACGTGAGGGTTGACTGATTACGTTTTGTGATTTCAGGCAAATTTTCGTCTGCCGTCGTCCAGTCGCACACCGGTGATCGGATAAGACCAGGGAAAGAGATCCAGCGCGGTGGAATGAATCCTCCTCCATGGTGGCGATTTCGTGACACCAGGATCCAATGAAAGACAACCTGCTGGATGGCCACCGGGGTAAGGTGGCTACTAATGTCACGTCTACTCCCACAGCAAGTGGCAAGACGGAGGTTGTAGGGGGACCTGGACCCACCAACTTCGACGACGATTACAACGAATGGGAATTAGGTATCGGCGATCTCATCATCGACCTGGATGCTGATATAGAGAAGAATAACGACAAATATCACGGAATCGGCGACGGGAGTGTGACTTTCGGCTTGTTGACGACCAATTGTGACTTAACCGGCACGACGTCTAGCATGTCGAGCACCAAACAGTCCCGCATGACCGGGAACAGTAACAGTAGTAGTAGTAGTAGTAGCAGTAGCAACAGTAGTAGCAGCGGCGGCGGCGCCGGCGGAGCGGGTTCCGGCGGCGGCGGCGCGGGCGCGGGTGGAGCGGGCGCAGCGGGAAACGGAGCCACCGTGGAGCACCAGGCCACGGTGGACAAAGGACTCAAGATGAAGATCAAGCGCAAGAACGTGGGAAGCAAATTCTCCGAGGCCAAGCACGAAATCGTGCAGTCCGACACCAAAGTGGCCCACCAGCCGGCCTCCGAGGCCGGCGGCGCCGCCCCCAACTGCGTCCAAGTGGCCGCGCCGGCGGAGCCCAAGTCCAAGCATTCGTCGGGCAAGGGCAGGAGCGCCGGACACCGCGAAAAGAAGGAGAAGAACAAGGACAAGAGCAACAACAAGGCCGGCGCCGACGTCAACGGCGTCGCCGGCAACGCTCACGGCGCCGTCTCCGCCTCCATCAAGTTATCCGGAACCAACGGCGGCGCCGCCTCCGGCACTCAGGGCCCGACGTCGCACGCGGCGTCGGCGCCCGGCGCTAACGCTTCCGCCGCCTCCTGCGACGGCGTGGTGTCCGCCGGCAACTGCCTGCCCTCCATCATGCCCAGTCTGACCGTCAAACTGGAGACCAAGTACTCTTCGCTGCCCGCCAACAGCACGGTCTTGCTGAAGCCCGAGGATCTGCCCAAGAGCCCTCCGCCCAAGCGAGTTCGAGTGGACAAGGCGGACCCGGTAAGTCTCATTCGCTTTTTTTTCCCTACCCTTTCGGGAACCTCCGGGACCCCGTCCCGTCTCTCTTTCTCTCGCGGCGCGTCGCGTCTGGCTAATTAAAACGTCGAGCGCCCCGAAAAGTGGCGCTTCCGGTGGGCGGAGCGCGACGCGTATCGGTCTAGCGCTCCGCCCGGTTTTCTTTGCCTCGGAAGGCGTAACTAATAGGTATATCGTGTGTGACTCGTGCCTCTCGAAACAGAGATCCGGATACCACCTAATTTGCATACCAAAGCGTCCGAGGTAGGTAAGAGTGAATACTCTGCATGCGGCTAAACGAGGGAATGATCGTCGCGTAAATCTTCCTCCTCTTCTAACTGGCTGGAGTCGGGATGGCATTCGTCCTTTGTATGTGCGCACATCGGTGCGTTAAACGTACTGTACCACATTCATTAAATGCGTGAATTTACCAGTAAAATGAACAGAATTTCGGCCATTCCGCGTTATGTAAATTACGGCTTTGTCATCTTTCAGGACAAATTCAGGTGGACTTTCTGAAACGGCAGTGACATTGATTGCCAGTTCAAATCTATACAGTACTGTATTTTAAATTCCTCTACTGTAGAGGATTCTAAACTACGCGATCTGGTAATTTCCATATAGCTTAGATGATCTCTGTTGTCAATACCCATTGATTTTTGAATCGATACGCGCCCTGCGCGTTACTCTAAACATGCCAATGTGTAAACAATTCGGAGCCCTATCTTGTATTTCGTGAAAGATGATGCGCCCTGGGATGAAACGGAAATTGGATTCTTAGTTTCTTGTTTTCGTGGTTTCGAAATTTAAATCTTCAGGATACGTTTTCTCGTTTGCCGTTTCCCAGGCCGAATTTTCTGCCTCTATCCTTTGTCTTCTCGTCTCGCTTCCATTGGCGAGAGTGCAGAAACCGGTGAAGATGCCCCGGGGCTAAAGAGGGAGACAGGGTAGAGACTCTGCTCTTGTTGTCGGATGTTCTCCACTCGACCTTTGTGTTTGTCCGTTTGCCTTCTCCCCTCGGGCGTGTATCCGTTAAAGTTACCAATTTGTGACGTACGGACGGTGAGAAGCCAAGCCTGTACCAGCTTATAATGTGGTCTTAGAACTTTCACATTGCAGTGTTTTTATTGGTGGTTTGCAGCTGCTCGTATGTTCGAGGGGAGGAAAAAATAGCGTAATGGCCTTATTTTTCTTTCGGATTAGGATAATTTTCATTTGTCAAACTCTTAATTTCTTTATTTCCTCAATAGTTTTAGTTACGGATCGGGAATTTTTGTGTTTATCTTTGCGAAACTTTGTTGTTGTCGGAGCCTGTTTGCGGAATGGTTAATCTTAATTTATATTATTCGTAATGGTTGTCTGATGCTCGTTACGTTTCCACGAATAGTTTTGCCTTATTGTTAAGTGAGACGTAACGAAAGTGTATAATGTACTCGAAGGGCAGCCTTTTTTTTTTTTTTTTTTTCCCGNAACCAACATTCCTCTCTGATAAGCGAATACAAAGCAAAATAAAAAATATATATAATTTTATTAGAATAATTTGCAAAAATATTTTCAATATAAAGAGTTTTGGCTGTTATCATCATCAACTGTAGAATTTGATACTTAATATTACAGATCAAGTTTCTGTTTTAAAAAAAGATATTTTTTAAAGGAATTTTTACATAAATTATACTCCAAATGTAACAAAACCAGTAAAGTTTACATATTATACTACGCGTTGCATCATCATTCATTGTTAAAGCTTGTATTTTGGAACGAGGACTTTGAAAATCAAAATATCGATAAATATGATGGAAAATTTTTATGTACGGAGCAACTTTTCCCGAAAAAAGATATCAGTCCGTAGAAAATTCTACGTTAACGAAAAAAAAACTCTCTTATTAAATAAAGTGGGAACTCGGCTGAAAAATTTATCTCGGTATCATATCTATATCGTATATCTGGCGTCACTTAATCTGTACACAATAAATACATTGTTTCTCTATTAAAATCCTTTTTTACATTTATCTGGTGTGACTAATTAACAGGAAACAATCGCAAAGCAAAACTTGGACTGAAAACAAAAGAAACATCCTGATGCAATCAGTTAACAATGAATAGCCATTTACAAAACAAATCTTTATACAATATTTAATTTTATAAGTTTCTGACATTATTGATCGATTTGATAAATTGTTTTCATTCTTCTAATTCACGTTTTTAAATTGGAATTTGTTGTCTTTTTTTTTTATTTTTGCTTGGAGTGATTACAACAGGCGACCTTGAACTTTCGTACTAACAGTTATTTTTGGAGATGCCAGTGAACTCTTCCAATAGAGAGATTCCTGAGGGACTGTGAACTACACTTTACAATCAGTTAATTTACAATTTGTCAAGTTTACAGTACAGTCGACCCCCCTATAACACTGTTGATTATTCCGTTTTATATGAATTCCATGTTGTACGAGTCACTTAGATTTTACAAATATGTGTGCCGGGCTGTGAACGGCTCATGTATTTGTTAAATCTAAATGACTCGTACAACATGGAATTCATATAAAACGGAATAATCGACAGTGTTATAGGGGGGTCGACTGTACTGTAAACTTGACAAATTGTAAATTAACTGATTGTAAAGTGTAGTTCACAGTCCCTCAGGAATCTCTCTATTGGAAGAGTTCACTGGCATCTCCAAAAATAACTGTTAGTACGAAAGTTCAAGGTCGCCTGTTGTAATCACTCCAAGCAAAAATAAAAAAAAAAGACAACAAATTCCAATTTAAAAACGTGAATTAGAAGAATGAAAACAATTTATCAAATCGATCAATAATGTCAGAAACTTATAAAATTAAATATTGTATAAAGATTTGTTTTGTAAATGGCTATTCATTGTTAACTGATTGCATCAGGATGTTTCTTTTGTTTTCAGTCCAAGTTTTGCTTTGCGATTGTTTCCTGTTAATTAGTCACACCAGATAAATGTAAAAAAGGATTTTAATAGAGAAACAATGTATTTATTGTGTACAGATTAAGTGACGCCAGATATACGATATAGATATGATACCGAGATAAATTTTTCAGCCGAGTTCCCACTTTATTTAATAAGAGAGTTTTTTTTTCGTTAACGTAGAATTTTCTACGGACTGATATCTTTTTTCAGGAAAAGTTGCTCCGTACATAAAAATTTTCCATCATATTTATCGATATTTTGATTTTCAAAGTCCTCGTTCCAAAATACAAGCTTTAACAATGAATGATGATGCAACGCGTAGTATAATATGTAAACTTTACTGGTTTTGTTACATTTGGAGTATAATTTATGTAAAAATTCCTTTAAAAAATATCTTTTTTTAAAACAGAAACTTGATCTGTAATATTAAGTATCAAATTCTACAGTTGATGATGATAACAGCCAAAACTCTTTATATTGAAAATATTTTTGCAAATTATTCTAATAAAATTATATATATTTTTTATTTTGCTTTGTATTCGCTTATCAGAGAGGAATGTTGGTTGTTTGTCTCGCTTCTATACTTACAAATGAAGAATAAAGGTTTTATAATGGGGTTACTAGCTTTTAAATACGTTTTAATTTACATAATTAAGAAATAATAAACACGTTACACAATTTAGAAATTTTAAGGTGAAAATTCTCGTAGTTTAAGTACAGTAAGTGAAATATTTCATCGATGAATAGAGAGTAATTTAGGTTTCTGTATCAAAATTTTAGTGTAGTTTTATGTATCTTAAGCAAATTTACATAATGCATACAAAATATAAGTTTTGTATGAATATTTAAGAAGAGTAAAAGAAAAAGAAAAGAAAAAAACTGTTTTTTTCTAATGTAATCTTTCTAAAAGGTTCAATTTATAATGCATAAAAAATGCAAGAAAATTGTTAATATTCTAGTACTTTCGAATCTAAATTGTTCATCAGTTTGTGAACAGTTTCTTTGAAAGTGCTAGGACAAGAATTTTCTTGATTTTCTTACGGTATACTCGATAAAAGTATTTTTTCGCATACTTTAGGAAAACATTACAGAGAGCGTTTAATGAGATTTAAACTGAAATTGCTGTCGAAATTCAGAATGTATCAGGACAAACCCATTCAGAACACAGTGTTTGAGTAGTTGAGAAAAATATAATTTCATTTTAATAAGTGCAGTACAATATAGATTTCTTAGACAAATGAACAAATTTAGAGTTTTTATACAATCATGGTATCGTATAAATGGGTAATTAACTTTAAATGTTTTACAAAATATGGACGTCAGCAATTTTAAATGTACAGTTCTGTCTATATATGGTCTACTTAAACCTTGTTTATTAATAAGTCCTATTAATAAACAAGGTCCAAGTAAAACTGTTTTACATTTTTGTGTATATATTAAGGACGTAGAGATAAAAAGAATTAAATACGTATATAGCATTCAAATGTTTTGATTGATTGACCTGCAAGAATGTTCAGATGAAACATATGTTAATTCTTGTTTAACAGGATAAAATCTTTCCAAAAATCAACAGAACTTGTCGCATAAATATGAAATTCTTCTATAAATCACTTAATAAGTCATTTTTAATTATGTAAATACAAGAATTAGTCATAACTATGAAGAGAGTCCAGTTGCAACTGTTTATAGTACTCAAAATAAGAACTATTAATCAAAATCTTGACACAATTTTTTATGAAAACAATGTTTTCCTCATTATATACATTGTATTATAGAGAAACTAAAACTGGTTAAAATGATCTTGAGAATTTATTTACTCAACTGTATCGTAAGGATTGTAAATATGGCCATTTTGTATAGTACAGATGCTTATTATTGGCACTGAATGGCCTCCAAGAATTCTATGTTTAGCAAAGTGTGTATAAGTAGAGTACATGTATAAAATGGTGTAAAATATTCGTGACAATTGCATATCAAGAAGTGAGCCAGAAATTTGCATTACAGAACCGGTTATTTGTCAAATAGTACAAACTTAGGTCTTTAAAGAAATCAC